ATGCTCTGATTTCTCTAGTAAATTCTAAATGTTACTTTTTCTGACTCATTCTACTTAAACCACTACCAGTTGTCTTTTAGCTTTTTATCATAGTTATTTATTTCAGTGTTGATGGTCTGAATGTCACCTTTTTCAGGGGTATTTGGTCATTCACTGATCTATTCTAACATGTAAACAACTGGTATCTAGCAAAAACTTAGTAACTCTTGGTAGTATAAATAAGTAATGAATGACTAAATTGTACTAAAAGCATCCTTTTTCTATATGACTAACTTGATTTAGCCAGTCAATATTTGGTAGCATATCCCATATACCAGTATCTTCTGATTTTTAAAATTTCACATTGTGCAACTGTGCTTTCATGAAAGACTGACATTAGTATCTGTTTTTGCTAGACAAAAGATGTCAGAAAAGGGCTTTTCACTATACTGACAAAAGGAAAAAGCATTTGGCATTCCTTTTGCATTGTTCTAGAGGCAGCACACACCCCAGCCAGCAAGACTGGCACCACCAAGCTCCTTCCCTAGACACTACTTTATAGAGACTATTTATATAGTAAAACCTTGCTTTTGCTATATCTTACATTATGTTAGGCTTTATATGTCATTTGTTATGATTTGGTAGGTTATTTTGAGGATCTGGGAATGATAAAAATTTTTTCCATATGAATTAATGGCTTTGGGCAGTTTAGGCTTTTAAAAGGTTCTTAAGTATGTACTCCTTTCGTACTTTCAGATAGCAGGGGAAATCTGTAGCACATGCTACTTTCAGCACCTATTCTAAGTGCTTTCTCTAAAGTTACTCTTAATTTTTGCAGCAACACTATGAGATGGTCTGCAGAGATTAAGAAATAAATTAAACATGGTTCCTTTCTATTGGAGATGTAATGATATTGGGACTGAAATAATTAAAGAATGATTCATCTTTATAACATATATATGTTTATTACATTCTAAGTTACACTAAAAATTTGTGGAAAGAGAAATATACATAGAAAATATATATGGGTGGTCAAATTAAAAGGAGTTAAAGCTTTATCTTAGTTTTAAAGGATGGAAGAAACTTGGTAGGTGAAAGGAACAAGAGGGTTATTATTCCTGCACAAGACAACTGAATTAAGGCAGAAATCAAAGATCATCTTTGGTCTGAAAATAATGGTAAATGTCCTTGTACAGATGGGGAGGGGCCATGATAGAGAACTTTAAAATCAGAAAGGAAAGATTGAACCAGCAGCAGCTGGAATCAGTAAAACACTAGGTAAATTTCAACCCTATTACTTGGATTAAATATTCAGCTGTCATTATGAGGATGCTATTACTGTTACTGCTACTAAAAACAACAGTAGAAAATGTTTTGCCTTTAATTTTTAATCTAGATGAATAAACTTTTTCTGAGCTATTTCATCAGATATATCTAATTTGTCCTTATAAAGCTAAATATAATTTAATTTACAATAGTTGTAAGATAACTACTTAGGTTTCTGTATGAAAACAAGAGTATACCATGCCATATTCTCCAGCAAAAAAAAAAAAAAAAAAATGGTATCATTTTACTGGCATGCCCACAGAGCTAAAAAGAAGGACCATAGTAAAGTTTTCAAACTATTAACTACCTATACTTCACTTAAACATCTATTTTCCACTGCTACAGTAAACTCTGTTTACTCAAAACATTAAAAATAGAATTAATATAGGATGCAGTCTTCCACTTCTGTTATATAGACCTAAAAGAAATGAAAGAAAATTCCCAAAGAGATAATTACATGCTTATGTTTATAGCAGCAATATCCACACTGATTAAAATATAGACACAAACCAAGAGTCCATTGACAAGTGACTAGATAAGCAAAAGGTGGTATTTCCATACAGTGGAATATTATTCAGCCTTTAAAAGGAAGGAAACCATAACATGATAGAACAAGATGAAGCTTGAGGACTTTGTGCTAAGTGAAATTAGCCAGTCACAGAAAATGAAATGCTGTATGGTTTCACTTATATGAGAGGCTCAAAGTAGTCAAAATTATAGAGACAGAAAGTAGAATGATTGCTGCCAAGGGCTACAGGGAGGAGCACTGTGAGAAGCTATTGTTTAATGGGTATAGTTTTAATTTTACAAGATGAAAGTGTTGTGGAGATGGATGGTGGTAATGGTTGTACAACATTATGCATATTTTTAATATCACTGTACTGTATACTTAAAAGTGGTTAAGTTGGTCAACTTTATGCATTTTACCATAATGAAGTTGGGCAGAGGGGGGAAAAGTGCTATTTGCATCTTTGCAAAGCCCAGTTATAGCTTTTAACTCCCTGTGGAGGATATTTCACTAAAATTCAACTGGCATGAAAACAGGCATTTCCCAGAGGAATTAAAGAGAAGGCATAATAACCTCTGCAAGGTCCTCTATAAACTTCAAAGGGTCTCTATGAGAATGACTAAGGTTTTTTATTTTGTTTTGTTTTTGGGGTTGATTGGTTGGCTTGTTTTGATGGTGATAAGGAAAACAGAGTATAAGCTCTAACTCAAAGTAATTTAGCATTAAAAAAAGCCATCTAATATACTCATGTATTGATTTTTAATAGAATATATTTTATATTGACTCTTTTCAAAACTATTTACCAGATTAGTAGTGTAATTAGTGATTAAACACTATGCTGGATGATGAAAAATAGGCCAAGTTTCTAAATGAGTTCAATAGAGATGAGAGATCTGAACAATAGAGCGTTGGGGGTGCAGGTTAGGGGGAAGAAGGGAAAAAGTTTTAGAGGAAAAAAATACAAAGCTGGAGAAAGGAAAAGCAATTCCAGATTTAAAAAATATTTTTAAAGCCAAGAGTTTGGGTTCAAAGGCATAAACCACTTAAGTTCATGTATGTAGGCGCACTATTGCTCATGTCTACCAATGTAGAAAACATTTTCTCTGTGCAGTGCCTTGTGCCTGCCCATCTAACTAACAGTTAGAAAGGTCACCTGTGCACAGAAAAGATCCTGTGTTTGCTGCTGAATAGCTGGACTGATCTTTTCGCAAACTTTTAAATATTTCTAATTCCCTTTGCCTTAAACCTTGAAATTAATCAGACTTTCAGTCATGTTCTCCTCTCCATCTCTCCTCTTTTTCTTTTGAAGTAAGCTTGCAATTCCACACATTCCATGCTGCCTCCACACCCTTTACATAGTCAACCATCTTAAGTGGAGCTTTGTGGACATAACCACTCTTTCCCTAGCCATAGTCTTTGTAGCCTGTTGCCAAAATGTCCCTTTGTCTCCTGAGGGCTTTTATGCAACTAATGACACAAAAAGAGTTTCCAATAGTAGGATCAACTTTGGGTGAAAGTGCACTGTGTATTTTGGGTGCAGGTCACTATTTGCTGTTCTGGTTGGCAATGTACACAATGACTTAAGCAAGACTTCTTTGGACATTTTAGTTTAGGGTGTGGATATTATGGATATTATGTGACACAGTTGTCAACTCTTGCTTTTTTTTTTTTTTTTTTGAGGATAGTTAGCTGAAAAGTTGTTTCACCTAGTTTCTTTTGGTTTGTGGGGCCAACTATTTGCTCAAGGAAAAGGAGATAGACTTCAGCACTGAAGCAACCTGAACAAAGAGGTTGCAAACTCCCCAACACTTCCATAAAATGAAGCCATTTATAATAGTCTATATCTTGGCATTTTCTTTCCCATGCTTGCTTCAGCTGCTTCTGTCATGGTGTCAGGTAAAATGTATAGAGCCAGAGCCAGTGAAGATTCCATCTTGCTGGAGCATCAGGCAGAGGCCAAGAGCAGACCTCAAAGTTTCACAATTGCAGAGCTACCCTGACATGCTCTGGGAAACAAAAATAATTACTAAACACAGAAGTACATGTAAAAGCACTTTCCCCCTTTTGTTCAAGAATATTTATCAGAAACCTTAACATGTTTTCTGAACATTGCCCCTGAACCTGAAAGTGCTTTTAAATTGAGCTAAGGGTTTAGAATCTACTGGACTCATTTAACTGCTTGTGGCTCTATCCTCCACTCTTACGTTGTCCCAGAGATTTCCAATGGTTCCAGCAGCTTTGGAGTTAGTAACTCTGATGTGTTTGCATCTGACCTCTGACCTAAACTTCAGTGTTATTTTCAGCTGTTCTTGAGAGGGAATCCAACAGCTGCTGTTTAATACCACAGACAACTTGTGACATGAGCTGAGTTTCTAGCAATAGGATTAATCTGCTGATCTTGAGCTCTGATCTTAACTGTCTGTAATTTTCCTGCACAGGGGGTAGGGAGAGAATAAAAATCAAACCTGAAGCACAGTGCTATTTTTTTATCATGTAAATTTGAACTAGCAATTTGCAATCAAAAGGTAACAGCAAAGTATATTACATCCTAGAGAGGTGATATCTGAATTTGAAAAATTCAATGGAGTATACTTATAAAGAAATTCTGAAATGATAGAAAGCCACTCATAATATTTTTGAAATATTTTTGAAATGCCCCTAACAAATCTTAGAAAATGTGGCTATCCAGTTTCTTCTTAGAAAACGTGGCTATCCCATATAAACTTTCTTTATCAAAAGGCAGTGAATTTGCGAAAAGATTATTCTAAAAATGTAGTTCAAGTAATTTTTGTGGCTTATTTCCAAAACATATCACAGAGCTCATTTTTAAAGTAATCTTTTTGGATTTTCTTTGTATGAGGGTGACTTCAAAAATTTTGGAAAGATTGATTTCCAGGTCACTGACTAGCTGGTTTCAAAGTTTCAGTGGCAAACTATAGTTTCAGTGGCAAAACTAACTTGGGTTGTCAGGATGTAGTTCTTTTTTTTCTTTTTTTTCTGTTTGTTATCAAACATCAGCTGATAGGGAACTAGAAGCTGCTCTCCACATTTCAGATAATGGCAAAAATAACAGGCGCTTAGTGTTACCATACTAGGGGTGTGGCGATTCCCTGCTGCTCTCCCTTCTCTTTCTCTCTTGATAAACTCAATGGGGTTGTCTATTTTTAACCTCCTGTTCTTTCCTTTTGGCAGAGTAATCAGCCGAGCAGAGCTCTTTCCCTGAATGAATCCAAGTAAATCCCAGTGGTTGCTTTCTGAAATGACCAGCAGACACACATCTGCACCCACGCTTCCCAACGTATAAACTGGTTCTGAGGTACCATGTCCAGTGAAAGAAGACCTGGTGTGGAGTTTTCTACGACAACCGTCAGCTCAGTAGCTGTGCAGGCTGGGGACTCCAAAATCGTGATAGCTGTCATAAAGGTAAGCTGACAATATTTTTCTCTTCTGTAAGACTGTGAACTCTTAGCTGTTTTATAATGCTACAAAAAAATTCTACAAATCGGCAGTACATAGCATCTGGAAGAAAGCAAGTGCATCTTATTGCTTTCTTAAGTCCACAACTAAAAGAAAGCAGTAAGTTTCACCCAATTGCTGGAGTTTCTCTTTCAGTTAGTCAGAACACAGATACAGCAATTTGACTGAAGGGAAAACCAAAACAAACCCAATAAAACAAAAAACACTACCATATACTTTCAATTTGAAATTGAATCAATTTCAGTTTTAAATTTAAGAGATTTGTGATTGTAAGGTCATGATTGCCAGCCTGAAGAGTCTGGAACTGTGGAGGATTTGTGACTTTTGAGCATGGATATGATGGAGGGGGCAAGAGAAAAGTCTCAGGAACTGGGGGTGTCATATTTTGTGTATGGTGGAGACCTAATAAGAACTTCTGACACATGCTCCCTGTAGCACTGGTTTGACATGGTATAGTCACTAATAAATCCTTGTTCCTTTGTTAATGGATTGAATACCCTGAAGGTGCAAAGGGCACATGTCAAACTTGCTCTTAACAGCAGGAAGTTGAAGCCACTTGGGGAATAAGGTTATCACTTGTTCTGTATCAAGCATTTGTCCATTTAAAGAGATGACCACACATCTTTATGCTGAAAAAGATATCCATGATTTTATTTCCTATGAAAATGTCTTGCAAAAAGATTATACTTGGATCTGGTCAGTACACTACCTAAATTCAGTGTATAAGTAAAGAGAATCCAAAAAAAAACAAGCTGAAACTCAGCAGCCAGATATTTTCAGGAATCCACCAGGCACAATTAAGTGACTCTTCTGGCCTATTGCTTAAGTATTCAAGACAAGGCCTGTTTAATGTAACTTAATTGTGGCAAATTGTATGTTAATGCAAAAATTCCTAAAAGGATAGCAGCAGTTCATACATACACTCACTCTAGAACCACTGAAAGCAAAGTGTTCCTAATGAGGCTGATTTCCCAGGGCTATTGTGAGCTGAACTACATAACAGGACATTTGCTAATTCCCTTACCCTTTAGTTTTTTCAAAATGGACATGGGAAAAAGTTCGAAACAGAAGTAGTAAAAGTTATTATTTTGCATGTGATTTTATGATGCTTTGAGTAAGTGCAAATGTCAGAAGTGAGGGAAAAGAAGGAAAATTACTGTTTTAAAAATTTTGACTTTTCTTAAATATGATTCTTTTTTTTTTTCAAAGTAGGAAGGGAAATATGTACGAATGGGTGCAAGAGGTAGACTGACAGTAAGAAAAAAATCTCTAAAATTATACTGGAATTTTTATTTAACTGAACTGTGTTTTTAATAATGCTTCCTTCAGTCCTCCTTCCTTTAACTCACTGCAGTCTCATACAAAATAACCCCCAAGTTCTCAAGGTGGGAAGCCCATCTCACAGGAATAGAAGTGCTAGCATCTGCTCTCTAGTCTGCTTCTTTCCAGACTGTCTCTCGGCAGTCATTATCTTGGAAAGTGCACATTGTTCTCATTTCTCTTCAGCAATTCACTTATCCATCTGCAAGTGCCCATTAGTGACCCCTCTTGCTTAATCAGTTGTTGCTTCTTAGCAAAGTAATTCCTCAGGAAATGTAATGATGAATTATAGTGAAAAAAAATCCCAAGTGTAGTAAACACACTGGCTCTGTTGAAATGGTTTTTGTTACTTGTACCTGGTGTTATTGACATTTTTTGTATATATATTCTGTGTACTCAATAACAAAAGCTGGAAAACGTTATGGTGAACTATCAATTAAACTAAAAATTGGTTACTTCATCCCTTGTTTATTCTTTCGGGTTAAACCAATAGGTTTAATGTAAAGACACAAACAGCATTTGTCTTTGCATTTATAAAACCTTCCCCCATGGTGAAGTTTGCATCCCACTTGTTCATGTGGAATTTTTCTATCTTCATGGAACTCAGTTTTGTGACTGAAAGACTGTTCATGTGTGCATTATCCTGTAATTTTTCAATCTATTGCTCCTCATTTGAAAAATTTTAATTTCAATCCAGTATGCCAAGAGAAAAAATTATTTCAAAATTAAAAAAAGAAAAGGCAGGGCATGGGTTTATATTAGACCTGTTCCATTTTAATTTGTTGGGCCATTCTTTATGGGAAGAATAAAGTTTACAGTGGAAAGCTAAACAAAAAGTAGAAGAAAAAGAAGAAGGGGAAGGGTGAAAGGGAAAAGTAAAGAGGAACTAAAAATGCATCTTATCTGATTTTTATTTTTAGTGTGGCAAATGGGTACAGCTTCAACTGGCTGAATCACAGCCCAATCTTTTAGAAATTGGTAGCAGTCAAGATGAAGCCAGAAAACTTCTTCATGATCATGAACTTCTTTTGGCCAAGCTCAAGGTAGGAGATAACGATCATAAGCAGATACAAAATTAAAAGAAATATAAAGCTGTTTATGTCACTGACCTTTGGTCATTTTAATATAGTCCTAGATGGATAGTAGGAAAATGATGTAGTTATTTGTGAATAAAACCAACATTGGAAAGAAGTAAGATGATTAAAAAACGAAACCAAATAACTCTGCCTTATGTAATAGAAATATGGAGATGATATTTTCACTGTGGAGAAATTAGTAAAATTTTCCCCTCTGGAGGCCTCAGTGAAAAAAAAAAATTCCATCACTTTTCTATTTCCATGATTATACTGTCAAGTCATAACAACAAAGCCAAACTTTCTACTATTAATGATACTGGCTGGCAAGAATAATACAAAGGTTCCCCCCACCACTTCTGGCGAACTATTGGAAATAATATGATTGTCTGTATAATATTAAGAATTCTTAAACATTTATTACTTTCCATTAAATCAGAGTTATCTATGTACTGGTTCTTTAGTTAAGAGTCTAAAAATAACATCATTGGCTTTCAGATTGCCAGATATGACATCTAATCAGAAGCAGCTACATAAATTTTGGGACTTAGTATAACATGTATAACATGAAAACATGAAGCTCCCTGTTTTAAAAAAAAAAGCAAGGAAAATTTTTCTTGACACATCATAGTGTTTTTTAATCTGCTGTTTTATGTCTGGCTCTTTCAACATAGGGATATGTGGGAGGCAAATGCAGCTCTCATAAGCGCTGGGCCTTGGCTGTGATTCAATGCACAGGGTGTGGACTAGACCCCAGCTTTCCGGAGCTGTGTCCTGCCTCCCACTGGGGATGATGACAAAAGTCAGTGAGCCAGGATGGGGGAGCAGACAGGGTAGCAAAGAGAACGTATCCCTGGAGGGAGGCCTGACACACAGGAGATGAGGCTCCACTCACTCCCATGCCCTGCTCGGTTGTCCCTTTGGACTTCACTTACAAAATACAGATTCAAAAATCAAATTAATAAGAATTGTTAAGAGAGTGACAGGTAAAGCTTCACATACCCTTTCTGAGGAAAGAACACTGTGATGTAGCCAACTCTGTAAGAACTTGTAGGAAATGCACATCTTCACATTGAAAGACACTTGCCATGAGTAGACAGTTTGTGTTTTTACTACTTTAATATTATTGGCTTCTCATAAACAGCACATCTAAGCTGGATCTATACTTGCTTCTAGATTTTAAAGGAGGTTGATTTGTATATAGTAGATATAAACTGGTTTTCTGACTGGAGAATCAGATTAAAAAGTTGAAGAATTAGTTTTGAAGTAAGGAGGCATTTAAACTAAACAGTTCCTTTCTCTCAGTTCTGTACTTCCAAGGTAGAAATACCTGACCATCAAGAACTCCTTTAAATACCTAAAATTGCATGTTATTTCATAAAAGAGATTGAACTAGGAGTCAAAATTGTATATTTCAGCAGTAATTATGGCATTAATTTCTGTATTCAGCTGACTACTAAAGTTCTTGATGTGAAAACCCAATGCTACATTGAAATTCTCCACCATCTCTGAGGCTTTTTCATGTTCTCCACAGCATTTTTATATATACCTGCCAACTGTTACTGTTGAAGTTAACAGGCACTTGAAACTATATCCCTATCCCAGTATCCACTAGTAATTTGTGTCCTTTTAGAATTTTGGGGTGGAGGGAATTTCAGTGGCCTAAGTCTATTAGGCTACCACTCCTCCCCAACCTCACTCCTGTCCAGACCCATAATTTACAGGAAATGCTTTCTCAGGGGATGCAATTCAGCTCTCCTCAGCACCTATGCTCAAATTTATATCTTAGTCTATTCTGGAGCTCAGCTGGAAGAAGGTTTTTCTATTTAACAGAATCTGTCCTCAGAAGATGCTTGTGGTATTATATTCCAAAGTTTTGCTGTCCTTATGTGCCAGCTTTCAGGATATGAACTAGCCATTGGGCCATCAAACTTTATATCTGTAAGCTTTGGGAGATCTTCACCTTCCTTGTGTCATGCCACAGAATGCATGGGAGGGCAGGTCCACTCTTTCTATTTTGTGAGTCTAAGAATATGAGATCACCAGTAAAATGGCCTTTTGTCTTCACCCAAGCCTTTAACTGTGACCTCTTAATGTCCATCTTCTGCACCCTCCCCTACACACCACTTTCAATCCACACACCACTTTCAATCCAGCCACCCACTTCTAAGAAATTTTAAGTAGTTGCATAATTTTGCAATATTTCTGGCTTAACAATATATAAAGGACCCTGAAATGTATTCCATATTTGCTAACAAAAGACCTTTAAAATTAAGAAAATATGGTAACATACATCTGAGTGTGTGTGAACCTATTCTCCTAAATTGTATAGAGTGTTATAAATTAATGTCATCTAACAAAAAAAAAGAAACAGATTGTTAAGACTTATAAATAAAATGAATGAATCTGAGTATCAAGTTGATAATGTAATTACAGAGGTATAAAGTGACATTAAAACAAAACAAAGCAAGATAACAAAATGTGAATTCCATATTTCAAGTGGACAGACCTCAATTTGATAATTTTACTAGTTACAATGCTATCAGAGTAAGAGCCTTAACCTGTAGCAGAAGGTTATTGAATGCAAATCCATTTTAATATGACCTTTCAAATGATGGTCAATGTCATTAATATTTAGCATTTAATGTTCATTCCAGTCCTTTTCATATGTACAGAACTTGCAATTTGTTCTACCTAGAAAGAAGATGCTCCACAGCTCTGTGTAGAATTCAAGGCTGAGTCCACTGATTTGAGCACAGCAGTTAGCCTCTCTGGCCTCAAGTTCTTTACTTCAAATATTATAGTTGCCCTCCAACACCTAGAAAGGAAATTTTGGAGAGAAACACAGTGATATATAGAAGAACATACTGGTTTTGAAAGAGTCATATATGGGAAAATTTTGAATGTTTGATTGGATAGCACATCTATTTCTGCCTTTATCTCAAATACTAGTAATTTAAGTTAAAGGAACAAATTCTGGAATCATAATTTTTATGAGTGTTTCTAATGTCTATTGCTTCCTTTCCCCCAGATCTTGTTTGCCTTTCAGAGAATGTACTTAACAATTTCTCTGGGATGCCCAGAGAAAAATATTTCCTTATTTTCTTGGGGAAAATGTGGGGAAGAAATTTAGACCTTAAGCTATACTCAGATTATTTTAAATGAGAAAGAAGAAATATGGGAAAGAGAAACAGATTTAAGCCAGGTTAATATCAGCTTGTGGCCACTATACATGCTATAACTTCAGGAGCTTGCTTCATGGAGGCATAACAAAGTTGTAGGAATTTAGGGTCATTGCTGAGGATGTTCTTCTCCTCAGCATCTGTCTTGCAACCAGCTACATTCTATTATCTAAAGATATGGACCTAGCAGGAATTATGCTAAGTAAAGTAAGTCAGACAGAGAAAGATAAATCAATATATTATGATTTCACACATACATTGAAGACATGAAAGCAAAGCAGCAATGAATAAACAAAACAAAAACAAATCCTCAGATTATAAGAATTAAATGATGGTTACCAAAAGGGAAAGGAATACATGTTACATAAAATAGGTCAAAGGGGTGGGCTGTATGGTGGATGGAAATCAGATTTTTGGCAGTGATTATACAGATGTCAGATTACACTGCTATGCACCTGAAATTTATTTAATATTTAAATCAATATTAATTTAATAAAATATTTTTAAAAGCAAGAAAACCTCCTGCCACTGACTACTATTTTTGTAGTTATGTGATATTAACATTCAAGGAAGAATGAACTTCTGGAATGTTAAATACCAAATATTTCACCTCTGAAATAAATCTGATTCAGATCTATTGTTTTCCTGATTCTCTCTAAATCTCTAATCCAATAAATGCTTATTTTTGTACTATTTGTTTAGTTAGCAACATGAATACATTAGAAGTTGTCAAATAGTAGCAAAGCTAAAATTTTACAAAAACTTGCCTTAAATAAACAGTAATTGTTTATTAATTGTTTATTAATTACAATGCTGTAATTGTAATTGTACAGTTACAAAGTGGTACAATTATTAGCACTATCTATTTCACAAACTTTTAGAAATTCACTACCTATCAAGCAGTGACTCATATTTCTTCCTTCCCTGGTAACATCCAGTCTACCTTCTTTTTCTCTAAACTTGTTTACTTAGATGCCTTATATAATTAAATCATATCATTTCTGCTCTGTGATGTGTGGTTTAGTTCACAAGATATAATGTTTTCAATTTTCATCTACTTTGTAGCATGTATCAAAACTTCATTCCTTTTCATGATTAGTTAATAGTCCACTGTATGGCTAAGCTATATTTTATTTAGCCATCCATCTAATGATGGGGACTTGAGTTTTTCTACTTTAACTGTGAATAATATCCCAGTGAACTTTGGTGGATCCAATGTTTGAGTATCTGCTTTTCAGTTCTTTGGGGTGTATACCTAAGAATGCAGTTGTTGGGTCATATGTCATTTCTATGTTTGTCATTTTGAGGAAATACCAAATTTTTTTCTTTTAAGATTTATTTATACATACAGAACTGGGGTACAGGGCAATGGTGCAGGGAGTAAGAGAATTAACCAGAGAGAGAGTACAGAGCAGAACAGGCAGATGTACTGAAATACACTGCTGAGGGGAATCAGCGGGTAGATCAGGAGAGCTCTGCCATGCCATATGCGTCAGCTCCTTGACTGGGAAACAAACTCGTGCTGCAGTGGCTACACACCACTTCATAAGGCTGAGCTTTAACCCGTTGAACCACTAGGGAGGGCCCCCAAAATGTTTTTCACAGTACCTGCATCATATTGCATTGCTACCAGAAATATACAGGTGACCCAATTTCTTCAAATCCTGTTCAAAACTTGTTACTCTCTGTTTATTTGTTTTTTTATTATTATTATTGCTATGCCACTATGTGAGAAGTGGTCTCTCATGGTGGTTTTGATGTATTTCCATAATAACTAATGGTGTTAGT